CAATCCCAGGCAGCACGCTCTGCTGTGTGGACAAAGGCGGGAAGAGATGCAAGACGGCCCATCCTCCGGCCACTCTGAGGCGCGGGGCTGACGCGCCGGGGGGCCCGCGTTTGCCTTTTTCCATGGGCTCAGCTGCAGGAAGCCTGGGTGCCTGTTAGCCGGGGTCACAAAGGGACATCTCGCCCAGGACTGGGCTGGGGAGCTGGGGCCAGGGCGCACCCCCTCCTCCCTCCAGGCGCTGCTTCTTGGGGGTAACTGCGGGTTAATCAGATACACGGCTTCCTGCTGCCATCTCTGAGTGGGAACATCAGGTCCCGCAGGTCAGAACTGCCCGCCAGGGAGAGGGGCGTGAGTTGGTGGGGGGCGTTTTATTTATTTACTTATTTATTATCATTACTTTTTATTGAACGACCGTGAGGTACAGTTGCAAAGCTTTCAGGTTTGAGCTTCAGGCATACAATGATTGAACACCCATCTCTCCACCACTGCACATTCCCCATCACCATTGTCCCCATTAATTATCCCCCCACCCCTATCCCAGTCCTCACCCTGCCTCTGTGGCAGACAATTTTCCCCATACTCTCTCTCTACTTTTTTTTTCTTTTTGCTTTTTGGGTCACATCCAGTGATGCACAGGGGTTACTCCTGGCTCTGCACTCAGGAATTACGCCTGGCTGTGCTCAGGGGACCATATGGGATGCTGGGGATCGAACCCGGGTCAGCTGCGTGCAAGGCAAACGCCCTACCCGCTGTGCTCTATCGCTCCAGCCTCCTCTCTCTCTACTTTTGGGCATTATAGTTTGCTCGAATTTTCCCACCACTATTCATGCCTGCCTGCCAGGGGCAGATGCTGGATCATTTATTTTCTGTTGCTCACTTTGAATATCCTGAGAGGTCACTTTGAATTCATGAGAGGAACACTTCTGGAATTCTAAGATTGTAGATGGTTGGGATCCAGAGACATTTCTGGAGGGAGCTAATCCATTTTGGGATGCAATTGGGAGTCTCTGGACCAAGGCCATTGGTGCGCTGAGATGGTGCCTGGAGGCAGATTGTGGGCGTGACAGCCAGGACCTCAAGCGGGGAGGGATGGCCCAACTTCTCTGTGGCCTGGAGTCTTAGTCCTGGAACCCACATACCTGTGGGCGTGTTTTAGGCAAGCCAGCCAGGCGGGGCTGGCTGATGAAGGCTTTACCCTTCACCCTAAGGTCATGCTCCTGGGTATTTACCCAGACAGCATAATCGTGATGCGCACATAGCCACCCGCACACTAGAGAATGTCTCTAGTGACCATCTGCACCAAGGAGCCTACCCTGTGATGGGTATGTTTGGATTTGGAATGATTCAGTCAATGTCGTATTAGCACTAAAAGACATGAAAAGCAGAGATGGCTCCAAGGGTTTGGAACACAGACAGGCCTACAGGATGGAACCCTGGGGTCTGTTCCCAGCACTGTGTGGCCCCCCAGAACTGCTGGAAGTGACTGAGCTATATGAGTAGCCTCAAACACGGCAGGTATGACCCCCCACTCCACACCAAATTAAATGAAAGAAAGTGTGCTCCTTATTGTATGAAAAAGCCAATCAGATTTTGGATCGGGTGAAACTAGGGAGACAGTAAGAAGACCCGAGGTGCCCAGGATAGGGGGGCTGAGCACAGAGATGGGCGCAGACAGCTCAGAGGCTGAGGTGCAGGGCAGTGAGATAGCTCTTCGTGAGACCATGTTAGTGGCCAGTGTTGATAGTGGACACCATGTAGTGGACACCATGTTAGTGGAGCTCATGATCGTGGATGTCTAGTGGGTATCACGATGGCGGATGTCATGACAGTGGATGCAGTGATTGCGGTTGTGGTAATGGTACACGTGACCATAGTAAATATTTGCTAACCGGTTGGTACCTCCTTATCCCCCACTCCGGAGGCAGCCTGTGTCCCTCGGCCAGGACCTACCTCTCCCCTGCTGCTCCTCCCCCACCTGGTACCTACTCCCCAGGGAGGCTGGTGCAGCCATAGGAAGGTTGCATGGGGGGCTGGGGGCTGGGGGTAGGGCCCCAAGTCGACCACAGGCCACATGATCTGGGTGGCTTGGCCCCGGGCACTGACCTGGTGAGCATGCTGTTAGCTTTGGGGTTAGTTCCTGTGGCAGTCCCACGACCTGGTGGATGATGTGGATGTTGTGTTCCATGTTTCTTTAAGGCAAAGCAGAATTAGTTTTGGCCCATTCACTGCTCTGCCTATAGGCGGAGCCAAATGAGGTGGGTGGAGCCAAGACAGGGTGGGCGGGGTCAGGATGGGTGGAGCCAAGACAGGGTGGGTGGAGTGGGTGGAGTCAGGATGGGTGGGTGGGGTCAAGGTGGGGTGGGCGGAGCCAGGGTAGGTGGAGCTGAGGTCAGTGGGCGGAGTGAGGACGGGTGGGTGGAGCCAAGATGGGGTTGGTGGAGTCAAGATGGGTGGGTGGAATCAGGGCGGGTGAGCATGGGTGAGACGTCCTCGCATCTCAGGTGCGGGCGTGGGTGGGTGAGGGTGCGTTTCTTTTGTGAGCACTTGGGAATGAGAACATTCTACTCACTGGACTCACAGAGAATCGGTGCTCACTAGTTTCTGCAGCATGTTTAGCCACTCGTGAGTGATTTTTTTTGGGGGGGGGTGAGCAGAGTGGTGGGACGCATCTCATGCTGGGGGTCACTCCTGGTGGTGCTCAGGGCATCATGTGGCGCTGGGGTTTCAGCCGGGGCTCCTGCGTCTGAAGCCTGTGCTCCAGACCTTGGAGCTGTCTCTGGCTTTAATGAAACTCTCCCCTCCTGGATTGATGAAATGGTCCTTTCTGTTTGCATCCCTCAATCTGTCATTGATTATTAGCTTTGGGGACCTGCAGCCAGCGACCTCCTAATTTCCAGAGTCAATTTCTCCTTCTACAAATAGCCCTGGAAAACCACATGTACCCGCCAAGGGCGGTGGGGGTGCCAGCCTCAGAGGTCTCATGTGAATCTTGGTGTGTGCAAAGAGGTGATCGATCCGGAGGCCCCGCCTCCCCCCCATCCCCTTTCCTCGGTGAGATAAACATTGACACAAACCTCGATGCTGTCATGTGTCAGCCACGCTTGCTCGTTTCCAAGGCTGTCACCTCCAGGGAGATGGGAGACCTCCTGGTGAGAGGTGGGGAGCCAGCTTCAGCTTCCTTGCAGGAGGAGTGGAAGCAGTGAGGGGGGAGGTCTGACATCACAGAGGGATGATGCAGTGATGACAGCAGACTGGGGAGAGCAGCCAGGGTGCCTGTCTCCTGGTTTGGGAGAGGTCTGGGGCAGCTCCCTCTTGGCTGGGAGGGGGATGATGACAGTGCGTTTGTATCACCAGCTCTGCTCACCCCATTGTGGTCCCTCCCACCCCAGTGTGACCACTAGACGTGTCCCATAGAGGACCCGGTGGACCCTGGGGTGGCCACTGAATTAGAGACTGGACGACTTGGAACTAGATCCCATCCCCAGTGGCCGCCTTATGTGGTCCTTCTGGGAACTGTCTGGAGGCTTTTTCATTTGTTTTGGAGCAACACCCAGCAGTACTCAGGGCTTACTCCTGGCTCTGTGCTCAGGAATCAGTCCTGGCAGTGCTCAGGGGACCTTGTGGGATGGTCGGGATCGGTTGTGTGCAAGGCAAGCTTCCTACCCACTGTACTATCACTCTGGCCCCCGGCTTTTTTCATTTGGGATCGTCCCTCTCAGGGCTACCCTGCTTCATGCAACACATGGACATCTGAATGGACTTGCGGGCCTTGTCTGGGTCATGAACTAGGGTGACCAGACGGTGTGTCACGCCAAGTTGGGGTAGACCTACAGGACCTGAGTGGTACTTGGTTCCCTAAGGCAAGCACTGGTGAAGAGGGCGGCTGGTCCCCTTGGTAGATAGTAGGCAGCTTCTACCCTCAGCCTTGCACTGACAATGCCTGAGAGACCTGGGGGATTGGGAGGGTGCGGCCTGGTGCAGGGGGCAGTCTGCTAAATGCAGAATTCAGCCAACAGTGGGTAGCTCATCACTGTGGTTTACACAGGATCATGCCATCGGATCAAGCTATAGGAGGCCTGATTCATGCAGCTTTCTGCACACTTGCACTCACTTCATGCCAGAGTTGGGTTTACCCAAAGTTCCAGTCTAGAGTGCATGGTGTAAGATGCTTCTTTCTAATTCTTGGCATCGTCAGCCTCGGCAGGGATGCACCCTGGCATGGGCCCTGGCACCCTGGCATGTCGCTGGCGAGTGCTGTCACGAGGAAGAGGCTGCAGAGATGGGTTCTTGCATGGGTCTGACCCCCTACCCCCGCGTTTATACACAGTTCTGCTGGACGCTGGGACCCCAGAACTGTTTCCCAGGGTCCTCCCAAGGCTCCTTGTCGGAGGTGCTAGTGTCTCTCTTGATTGACGGGTACCCAGGGCGTGGTCCACACCCTGTTCTCTCATTTTGATTGGCTACAATCTGGGCCCTCCTAGGGGGCGTTGTCCATACCTTGTTCTCACATTTTGATTGGCTACATTCTGGGCTCTTCCCAGGGGGGCGTGGGCCACACTTTGTTCTCGCATTGTGATTGGCTATAACCTGGGCGACACACTTAGGTTTTTTTTTTTTTTTTTTGCTTTTTGGGTCACACCAGCGATGCACTGGGGTTACTGACTCTGCACTCAGGAATGACCCCTGGCGGTGCTTGGGGGACCATATGGGATGCTGGGAATCGAACCTGGGTCGAACCCAGGTCGGCTGCATGGAAGGCAAATGCCCTACCTGCTGTGCTATTGCTCCAGCCCCTGTTTTTGCATTTTGATCAGCTACAACTTGGGCTCTCCTAGGGGGCGTGGTCCACACCTTGTTCTCGCATTTTGATTGGCTACACCCTGGGCTTCCTCAGTTGCTGCCTGCCTGGGCAGGGTTAGCATGAATCCCTCCATTCATTGTGTGTGACAGTTGACACGTGCTCGTGGCTGGACTAACGACTTCTCCCCCTGCTCTTGCAGGTGATGCTGGCGGCTTCCTATTGGTCTCTCTTGGCCCCAGCAGTGGAGATGGCCACGTCGGGGGGCTTTGGAGCCTTTGCCTTTCTCCCAGTGGCCGTTGGCTTCAGTCTCGGGGCCGCCTTCGTCTACCTGGCCGACCTCCTGATGCCACACCTGGTAAGTGCCACAGGCAGGGCACTGCCCAGGCTGCTGGGTTGGGTGGGGGCTCGGAGCGTGGAAGTGGTTGCAGATAAGCACCGGCTGGAAATGGTTGCGGGACACGGGGCATGCAGCCAGGCCTGGGGTGCACTCCACGGTTGGCTGAGCCTGTGCTGCCGCCAGGAGTAAGGTCCAGCGCAGGGGCCTGGCACAGGGCTGTGCGGCCTTCCCCGACATTGGTGCTCCGCCCCAGAGTGGGCAGGAATCTCGCGTGAAGCGGACTGGGGGTCTGAGTTCTCAGCTCACAATGAAAGGGGCCGGGGGACCCCACTGGGGGGCCTGGGATGCAAGCCTCCCTGTTGGGTAGGAGCTGGGTGCTGTCAGGCTCCTGGGGGGCTCTGGGCACGAAGCCGTGGAAAGAGCTGGGTCTCGTCATGCCTTTGTTCCTGTTCTGGCTCCCAGGGGTCAGGGCTAACGGGCGGCAGCTCATTCCTCAGTGCTCACGGGGACGCACTCTGGGCTATGAGAGGGTCTGATGGGGAAGGAGAATGGAGAGTGTAGATGGTTGCTGATGGGAAGGGGAGGAGAGTGTAGACGGGTCGCAGGAGAGAGGAGGGTGTAGACGGTCGCTGATGGGAAGGGGAGAGCAGTCTTTAGGATGGGGGGGAGAGAGTCTCACGGTGTCAGTGATGTGCGTAGGGAGATGTGTGTAGATGCGGTGTGTATGTGGGCAAAGAGGAGTGCGGAGACTGTGTCTGTGATGGGGTGGAGGTCCGGGATAAGGTCTCCAGGGAAAGATCCACTTTCATCGCAGTGTGAGCGAGTCTCTCCTTTGCCCTTCCAGCTGTGGGGCACATCTGCATGGCCTCAGCTCGGGAGCCCCATGGGCCTAGAGGCAGCCGCTGGCTCTCCTCTTTGCAGTGACGATGGGGTGGTGGTGGTGGTGGTGGTGGTGTGTGTGTGTGTGTGTGTGTGTGTGTGTGTGTGTGTGTGATCAGCTGCTGGTGGGGGGCTTTCTCTGCACCTACAATAGTCTCCAGCCGCCTTGGGCTCTGCAGTGTTTGCCCTCACTCCCCTTCACTCCTGTCAGTTCTCACAGTGGCTGTGCATCTGGACGTGCTCCCAGGGTGTTCCTCGGGGCCCCTCCTGCCCACCCTGGGTGTGAGAGATGTGGGTGTTCCTTTAGGGAGAGGCCGCAGCCACCATTAACACCCAGAACTGTGCTCATGGGCAGGGAGAACTGCCTGGCGGTCAGTATCTACCCGGGGTGTGGAAAAAGAAATTCATTTCCATTGTCCCTGGGAGCCGGGACCGGCCCTTGAAGGGGCTCAGAACTAGATAAGAATCATCTGTGATTGTGAGGTGTGGAGTCCCTGCTGGTGCCTGGAGCTGGCTCAGGGCCCCCTTACTTTCCTGTTTACGAGCTTCCCGAACCTGGACCGCACACTGGTGCCCACCACCCCCCTTCCCATCCCCCTGAGGTCCATCTCCTCACAGACCGAGGGGGTAGAGGTGTCGACAGCAGCTCCAGAGCTTGGCAGGCAAAGCTCTGCATACCTGAGATGACTTCTGCTCTCAGAGAAGAGGGGAGTGAGCTGTGGGGCCAGGGGTGTGCTTCGGCCATTGTTAGAGAAGAGGGAACCGAGGGGCCAAAGAGGTGGCGCAATGGTTAGGGCCCGGGACCAGCTGCTGATCTTGAGTCGATCAGTGGCACCGTGTGACCCCACAGGCACTGCTGGCTGTGGCCCTGGTTATCCCCTGTACCACAGTGCTCGGGCCCCCACATCGAACCCTTAGTATGGTTGGCTGAAGATCACCCCTAGGTCTCCTTTGCCCCCTCCCCTCCCCTCAGAGTATTAAGAGGAGGTGGGTCCAGGCTGGCTGGCTTTCCTTTTCCTACCCCCTCCCCACCCTTCCCCAACCCCTCCCACCATCTCCCCTCCCCTCCCCTCCTCCCCCTCCCTTTCCCTCCACTCCCCTCCCCTCCCTTCCTTTTACTCCCCTCTCCTCCCTTTCCCTTCACTCCCCTCCCCTCCCCTCTCCTCCCCTTCCCTCCTCCACCCTGTGTGCTATGCTGGATTGTACCCAGGCCAGCCACAAGCCAGGCAAGTACCTTCCCCACTGGATTCTCTCAACGCTGGGTCTCTGGCTCCCTGGGACTCTCTCCTCCACCTGAGCCTGCAGCCCCGTGGCGGTGGGCTTGGTCTCCCCGAGGGAGGGCTGGGGCTGTCGGCCCAGGCATGCGGCGCCCGCTCTGTCCTGACCCATCCCTGCGCTCCCTCTTGCGGGCACTGGCCCACGCGCCCCTCTCTCCATGGCTCCGGTGCCCTCTTTGACCCCTCTGCCCCCCAAACCCGATCGCGCCCCGTCCTGATGGGCAAGTGGCCGCACGAGGGGGCTGCACCACACCGTAGCTCACGCCCCTGGGTCCAGATGGGCTGTCGCCCGGGACACAAACTCAGGGTGCAGGGGAGCCTCCCATGTGGGGGGTGGGAAGTGGGGAGGACTGGCTTTCTTTTTCCGAGGTGGAAACATGACTCCTGTCCTCTCCTGTGTGTGTAAAACTCGACCTCTCGTCCTTCTGGGTTAACAGACCGACCCGCCGACCATGGTGATGGCTTCCGACAGTAAGTGCCCTTTGAAAAGTCTATGAAATGGCCCCTAACCCTCACCTCCCCACCCCCGGAGCCTTGACGGGCTTGTTCAAAGGTGATCTCTGTCCTGAAGACATGTCTTGGGCTGGTGGATGGAGAAGGATGTGTCTTGGGTGGACGCCTCCCCGCCGGTTGTCCCCGAGACCAGGCATGGGGGGCTGAGTCCGGCTGTGGTCCCGGGTCATCCTCAGCCCCTGGCTTCTTGTGATCATGGCCAGATCGTTGTCTTGTCGCCTACGGATCCACCTGGTGGAGGAAGGGGGAGAGGAAAGTGGGAGGCGGCCTGGGACTCACTCAGCCCCGGACGAGAATGGCGGGCTCCTGTGGTCCTTTATTTATTTTTTCCTTTTTGGGTCACACCCGGTGATGCTCGGGTCACTTCTGGCTCTGCACTCAGGAATGACTCCTGGCGGTGCTCGGGAGACCCTATGGGATGCTGGGAATCGAACCCAGGTTGGCCGCGTGCAAGGCAAGTGCCCTCCCTGCTGTGCTGTTGCTCCAGCCCCGCTCGTGTGGTCTTGACCGTGTCTGAGGGGAAAACACACACAGTCTTGCCCCCCTTTTAAAAAAATGTATTCACTTTTTTTTTAAAAACTCTGTGATTTACAAAGTTGTCCATGCTCCAGTCGTTCAAGCATTTCGTGTTCCAGCACCACTGTGTGGCCTTCCCTCCACCAAGATCCCCTCCCCAAACCTGCCTCCTGAGGCACAGAACAAATTTACTTTATATGGCTTAGTCCTACAAAATTTTAAGAACCGGCAGATAGAATTATCAGTAAATAAATCAGTGAGAGCAAATTAGTGGTTACTATATGATTTTGACCTATGTAAATAAGAAAATTATAGTCATTAAGTACACTATCATAAAACACCCATATATAGTTTTAAACTCTGGAATCTAAAGTTTATATTTTATTTTATACTTGGATCCTGTTACTGTTATTATGTGGTGATAATCATGGGCATTGGCCCTTTCTAAGAGTACATTCTGGGGCCCAGGCCTTGCACGTAGCGGACCTGGGTTCTGTCCTCGGTGTCATGTAGGGTTTCCCGAGCACAGAGCGGGGAATCATCCCTGAGTACAGCTGATGTGACCCCCCCCCCAAAAAAAAAAGCACAGCCTAGGGGAGTTCAGAGTATTCCCGTGGGAAAGCTCTTCTGGACGCGTTTTCTTCTAGTGAAGGGGACACTTGGTGCCCTTCCAGCCTTTCATCCTCCCCACCCACTAGAATCCTGCCCTGCCCTCTTCTTTCTGCTGACAGTTACGGATGACTCTTCTTCAGGGTGTCACGGAAGTTGTTCAGAGGTCCAGTGCCAACATCTTCCACATGGGAGAATACCCTTGAGGTGGCGCTCCATCCATGGTTTAACCAGCTTTTTCAGGGCTGTATAGTATCCCATGCTATGGCTGGACCACTACTCATTGATAAATGCGCCGACTTTTGAATGGCTCCCACCCCCTTGCTGTTGTGGGCAATGCTTCCTTGACCGTTCACGTGTACCAAAGCTCCCAACCTTACTTTCTGTCCCTTTTGAAACTCAGAAATGGGCTTGCTGGATCCTGGGCTGTTCTATTTTTAACTTTCAGGGGAACTGGCACGCTGTCAGTCACATCAGCCGTGCGCCAGCACCTGTGATTTTGTTATTTTCGGTTTCATTTCTTTCTTCCAGGACTCGTCCTAATTGGCAGGAGGTGACATGGCGCTGTGGTTTTGATTTGCGTGTGTCTGATGATTGGTGTCTTGTCGTACACAAGCTTTAAGATGGCGGGAGAAGCTGCCTCCTTAAACACGCTGCCCGTTTACAGCGGAGTGCTTGCTGGTTATTTATTTACCGATTTATTTTTGGTTTGTTTTTTTGGGGGGGGGGGTGGGAGGGCATATCCAGCAATGCTCGGGGCTTAACCCTTAACTTTGTGCTCTGGGATCACTCCCCGTGGTGCCCCCGGGGGACCAGATGGTATGTGGGAGGTTGAACCCGGGTCAGCTGCAAGGCAGACGCCCCTCCCACTGTACTGTCTCTCTGTCCACCGTGCCCTTCCCTCAGGCTTTCCGGTTTAATATACCAGGGCAGACGCTCTTCAAAGGTGCCAGCCTTTATTTTTGGCAGGAGACGTGGGTGGCAGAGCCAGAGCCGGAGTTGATGAAGCGCTTGTAGTGGTCGAGGAGTTGTCACCCACCCCATCATTTCTGCACTAGCCCCTCGATTCCTGTCCCCCCCCACCCCCCCATGCCTGGGGAGAGGCATCGCACGGTATTGGAGCAGCCGAGGGCAGGGGTGCGGCTGGTGGTGAGGGGGTGCAGTCCAACCTCAGTCCCCCCCACCCCCCCACCCCCACCAGGCTCTCTGAGGAGTGGATCAATG